TATGCATGAAAGTATTTTTAAGTGAAATATAAGCGCTAGCGCTTCGATAATTTTTCATCGAATGAATAATAATCGAATAAATTCGAAAAGAAAAAATTTCGAATAAACGAATATCGAATAAATTCGAAAATAAAAAATCTCGAATAAACGAATATCGAATAAATTCGGAAAATCAAAAATATCGAATGAATGAATTTCGAATAAATTCGGAAAATCAAAAATATCGAATGAATGAATATCGAAAATATTCGAACATTGGAAGTCGAATTTCGAATAAATATTCGAACGATTTATCGAATAACTAAAGCAATCACATCTCAAACTTGTTCCATTCTGACCTATTCTGAAAGTACAGAATGCAGGGCATTTATCTTTTTATTAGTATGTCGTACACGCCAAACATTTGTGGTAAGCTGCCATTACATCTGAAGACATCTCGTAACTGGCAAATCGCGTACGGCGATCTAAACCGTCTAATCCTGCACTACAACTGCGATGTCCTTTACTCAATATACACCAATTCGCAAAAAACTCCAAGGTAACGAATAGGCAGTTTTGCAATAATTTATGCGAGCAAGAGTGCTCACTAGTGTGGGCTTTGCGTACCGCAAGCATGAGCAATGCAAAGAAAGAAGAACAGCCATTTCAATTCAGTATGAACTCAGAACATAAGCTTGAATTTGATATCTTCTTTGCTGATTTGGTGCCAATAGCAGTGCGACAATCTCATTGATCGAAAAAACATCAATTAAAATCCACACATGATTTTTTTACTCTCACAAGCAGTCGGAAGAATGCGACTCTCCATACAGTTCAAAGGAATACCGGTTGCAAAAGATGCGTTACCGATTTTGCAAAAAAAACCGAAGTGAGCTTGATACTCAGCAGTTGGCTCTGCAACAAAGTCGAATAATCTGATTACGGAATACGTTCGAATACGAATTCGAATAAACATTCGAATAAAACATTCGAATATAATCTATTCAAACCCCGTTTTTTGATTATTCGAGTTTTCAAATAATATTCGAAACCTCGTTTTTTGAATATTCGAGTTTTCGAATAATATTCGAAACCTCGTTTTTTGATTATTCGAGTTTTCGCATTTTATTCGAAATCCTGTTTTTTGATAATTCGAGTTTCAAATTTTATTCGAAACCCCGTTTTCTCAATTAATCGAGTTTCGAATATTATTCGAAAATGGAAGAACTCCGAATATCGAATTTCGAATACGAATATATTCGAATGTTTTATTCAAATGATCGAATTTCTATTCGATTCGGACCCAAGTATAATAAGCGCTCCTTATAAAGGTATGACACAGCTGTACTAAGCGAATGTTTTGTCTTTGATTATGTAGATGCACAAAGGACTTTGGAGGTCGAAAATTACTTTAGTGAAACAGAAAAGGTGGATCTATGGTTTTGGTCAGCACTGTATTTAAGCTAAGCGTTTTTATTGCACGAAGTGCCCCATCAATCACCATTACTGCTAAAGTTTTGGAAGACTCTGGCAATTTCATCCAGGCGGCGCATTCAGTTTTGTGCTCTGTCAAATGCTCATAATTCCTCGTAAGTAAAAGCTCCGCAGAGGGGTAAGGCAAATCTAGAATCAGCGTTTTAAGCCCTGGAAGTTCTTGCGTGTTTGGGGCCTAATAATTGATTTTGAACATAAGGTCATTGCTAGTACGCAGGTAATTTTCGCAAACGCATTTTTTATTTGTGAGGACAAATTCTGCAAGCGCAGCTAAACCTATGTGATGGTGCAAATTGGCTCTAGAACTTGGAGGGGGTGGGGGGAGGAGGAGTCTATGGAGGCTCTGAGTTCAGTTACAGAGCAAATGAGGGTTTGAAAATTTGATTTTGTTCTTCTTAGGAATGGCGGTTGAATTCTTCTAACTCTCCAATCTTGAAAAATTCTTCTGAATTCAATAAAATGTGTTAGGTCGCTCGTAAAGTAATGTCGCTTTTTTCAAATGAACGCCACATATCGTGGAACTAAGATTTCTAGAAGATCTTGAAATCTTTCGATTCAGCATTCAAGGTTTTTTCTAATGGTTATAACAACATTGCATAGTATTCAACATCTCAAAAGCCGCGATAAAAATCTGCGAACCATGCTTTTTTTGATGGTCGAGTTTCACAATTTTTTTAAATTTTCTTGATAACCATCTCAAAAAGTTGAAGTACTAGGCTGGATAGAGCAAACTCTGGAGAAAATAGTGCTTCTTTTTTTCGTTTATAGCTCGCCATAATTTTTTGAAGAAATTTTTAGCGGAAGCACTAAATTTTGGCATATTTGGCCTACATCAGACGCAAACGCAACAAATATCATGAAACTTTCGGAATTCGGCACTTTCAAAAATTCATCATTCAAAACTATTTTTACAATGTATAATGCAAATGAGCGTTCACAGATTCGAATCAATTTTTTTAATTTTCTGGTACATCCTGGGGCTTGAAAAAGTGAATTATTTTGATTTTATCCCCAAATATCCATGAATTGAAAGCAAAAATTACATTTCAGAAAGAGGAGAAGACGCTGCATCGACTGACCCTTGAGTTGCTCGATTGTTAGAGTTCTAAGAAGTTTGATTTGGCCAAGCATGGAGATTTCTAGCATGAAATAAAATTCTAGCAAAAATTTATGGTGTGCTATGGGAAGGAAAAAAAACTTGTACTGATTCCTGTAGGGTTTGCTCTACTCATCCATTTTTGGCTCCTTCAGAGGTTTGTTACAGAAACGAGCTGGCATCCCGGGTTCCACCCCGTTCTGACGCTTCCATCGTGCTTGACCTCCATGCAGCGAAACTTACCCTTCTTTTGATTTCGGCTCTCTTGGGTAGCTTCCTACCGTCCTCACCATATTTTGATGACCAACAGATCAAAATGAGCTTCACCGCTCATCCTTCATGACTACGGAAAATGTGCGCACACACGAACACACAGATTTTCTGCCTTATATTTATAGAGATTTAGGATAATTGTAAAACCTGACCATCTGAAAAAAGGTCGCATATTTTGATAAATTTTCAAATGCTCAAACATTATACAATGTAACTATAATCTTCGGAAATAGAGTGAAATGCTGCATCGAATGCTCCCAAGATCTAGAAATCTTGGTTCCACGAAACATGACGTTTATATGAAAAAAGCGACATTACTTTTGGAAAAACCTAATGCTTTGTAGATTGAATAATGCCTTCTATGACATAAATTTGAGCTTGCATTTCTTAGTGTTTCCTTCGTGGCACTGTTTGTAAAGTTGGCGCTGGTAATTTGGGCGCACTTTTTATATAATGAGACTAGGCCTATGAGTACTTTTAGATAACCGAAAGAATTTTATCAGCTGTCGGCGATGACAAAAGCAAAAACTGTCCAGAACAAAATGTCACTTCTACCATTTTCAAGGGCTGAATAAGTGCGTCATTCCGAATTTTTTTGCGAAGAAACTTCATGAAAGGATTTGTTGAAGGTCACGTTTAGCGGTACTGCTTAGCGAATAACTTCACGATATACAGTGCTTGTGCAATTCTACTACATTTCATATCAAATTATGGTTTCTCAAAGTAATAGGTTGTTAATTTAGTTTTGCAACTACTTTTATAACTTCTCTCTCTTTACATATAAAGCACCTAAATTCTCGCGTCATGTGGGTTATGACGTAAACTACACGCGCAGCCACAGTTCTGCAAGATTCTGACGTCGCAGTGAGGGTTACGTAGGTACATGGTATAAGAAAAATTATAGAATATTACAAATTTGGCTGAAACTTTGCACAGATGGGTTATCTGACGTGCTGATCACGAAGACGATATTGGTTAGCATGAAAAACTTTTTTGTAAGGTTACAGTAGGTTTACGGTGTGGAGTCTTGCGCTAAACAAAAAAAGAGGCTTTAATGTGATAAACAAGCATGATATTCGTATTCGGCAGGGCAAATAACCCCACCATGGAAAGTTTGGTTAATTTTGAGACTTCGACTCCCTAATGAGTGACGCTTATCCCAAACAGCTTTGTGTACCGCGGTTCGTTCAGCTTTGAGGAAGCGCCAAATGTTTGATGTGCTGGATGAGACAATCTCTAGCAACAATTTATGCAGACTTTCGGGTTGTGCAATTCTAGGTCAACAAAATGGCTTCATTCTCAGTCAGAACTCTATAAATCCTCAAATTTCACCAGTTCTGAAAATTTTTGGATTTTTCCTGTTTTGTCGTTAGAAAGCGGTTTTGCCACGCTATAGCACACACGGCAATCTATACAATATCAAAATTTGAGCGCGCCAATGCCAAAAATCCAAAAGTTACGGGCTCAATTGCAAGACTTAGTTAACAGCCTAATAAAGGAGATGCTTGGCGTTTCGCCTATAAATTCTTTCTCGTTGTTGCTGCAATAATTTTCAAGCATGCATAGTATTGCCAGAGATTTTTAAATTATGAAGCAGTTCGATGTCAAAGTGATTCACTTTCATTGAAAGTATGATGAAATAAATCTGCAACTTCACGAACGCATAAAACTTTTTGAACGACCTATTTGAATGAAGTCGTACACCTGATGACTGCTCTTTAGTTTTCAGATTTGTTCTAACGCAATAAAAACTATTGCAATTTTTCCGCTGACACCAGATTCACTAAAAGTGCTTTGTATATTTTTCATACCTAGATAAACTTCAAAGGACAGGACGCTTACGCGATAGCCGTATCTTAGTTCTAATGGCTGTTCGAAAAGTTTTCTGGGAGAGGGGGGGGGGCTGTGGTTATTCTAGGGTAAAAGTCACTTGCATAATCTGTCAGTTCATGTAGACACTTTTATATCCGCATTAAGCTCATGCGACGTCGCAACAGGGGATCGTAAAGAAGGCCCCCACGGTGAGGGTGGGGGGGGAGGGGTAGTAAGAGGGAAGAAAACCAAATATCTGAGCACAAGCTTTTCGGTTCAAAAACCTTGAGCTCAGAAGAAAATGGGTTGGCAATTAATCAAACAAGCCGATACAAATGCAACATACGAGAGATACAGGCTGACTGTCACCAATTCGACGATGGCTTTTTGGCAAGTCAGGAGATGTGTTTATCAGCAGTTTCGAGAACGAAGATACGTCTTATTTACTTCAAGTGTACGCACGTTTTCTGGTCACTCTTTGGTTGAGCTCTTTACGACCTATCCATCCATTTATTGCGCAAAAGAAATGGCAAATTTTCGTGTTTTTTGCTTTTCTTATCTGTCTTATCTGGAAATAGAAAGAACTTCGCATACGCAATACTCTAAGGAATTATTTACTTTAAGATAGAAATTATTTAAGGCTCATTGATGAGTAGACCACGAGTTATTCTATAGAGAAAAAGGTTTTGGATCAAATATCAGGCTGGGAAAATAAGGGACAGCTTGATTCTTTTGTATTCTCTAAAGAAATCCAGCCATCTCAGTATGGCTCTCGTTCATATGGTGTTCACAGACTCATAAGTAAAGCTGCTGTATTCTTTGTTGGCTGAAAATCATGGAGAAAATTGACATGCTCTTGCCAGAATAACCCTGGGCTGTTTTCACATAAGTCATTTTGTCAGGTTGTAAAAAAGTTTCCGAGCACTAGCGAGATTTTTTTAAAGACTGTAACTTCGTGCAGAGTGATCCTTTTTTGAGAGCTGCGAATTTTTGATGCAAAGAACATGTTGTGTTGTCTAAAAGACATGCGTGTTCGATTAGATTCTCAGCATTACATTTCGGACCACCAGCATGCGCAGGAAAAAGGTTGGGTTAAAATTATCTTCTTTGTGCACGATTTTCTCAGGCATAAAAAAAGCTGGAGCTGGTATTCGGTAGCTGTAAACAAATCCACTGGGGCTTTTGATAGGGTAAATCACGGCTGTAAGGCTTAACTTACGATACGACTTTACCTACATGCCTCAGGCGAACACCTCGTTTTCTGCGCAAATTTTGGGCGATTGATTAGTGTAAAAGTGGAGTTTTACATTACCCGAATTTCACAAGCACAAGGAAGCATTCTGATACGATGAATGTAAGCAGCTCAGGCGTGTCGCTGGCCTCGCGGAACCATTGCTAAACACAAGTTCACTCAGATAAAGAGCAGGTTGGTATAGGGTCCTCTTATTGTTAGCTGCTTCATACTGCCACACTGAACAGCACTGACCGCAATGACTGCAATGACCGCAGCAGTCGCAGCGAAGGAATATGACAATAATGATTTCAATAGACTGCTGCTGTCAACTTAGCTTTTTTTGCAAAGTAATTAAAACTAATCACGTGTACGTGAGTCACAAGATAGGGGTTTGAGCTTGCTAGAGTAGCGCGCGCGCGGTTATTGACTCTCATTTTCGAAATAAGTGGATTAGATAGTCGCTTGTTGCCCTGAGTTATGAGAATGTTATAAGAGGACATAAAGATGCCCGCGGACTCACGACACTTGAATCTTTTTCAAAACTAAAACACCACAACGTGAAATATAAGAGTTTTCACAAAACTACCCTAAGTTTGCAAGCGTTAACACTTTCTTTTGAAGACACGAGGACTGAACAGATGAGAGAACTTAGCAGGTAACACGGCAAGCATGTTTCTTTGAAAACTTTAAATGCCCCCATACATAAAACAAAGTCAACGCAGTTTTTGATGAAGATACCATAATCGTTTACACCAAGAACGTTACCGATACTGTGAAGACTTCCCTAGGGATAAGAAGACCAAATTTGCATCAACACTCTATCGAAATCACTGTCGCAAGCTAGTGCACATCTATGCAGTCGTTGCGGTCAATGCGGCCGGTACGGTTGGGGATTCAGTGCAAGGACAGAGATTGAAACAATTCTTTAAACAGCGAAATAATCCTTGGCGAATCTGGGTTGAAGTGAGATTACAATTTTGCAAGTATAAACACAATTTTTAACTTAGGTAGGGCCTAGTTAAAACATTTCGTGTTTTGGCTAGGGCTTGGCACGAGCTGAAATTATGAGGTTTCGAAACAAAGTCCCCTTTGTTACAAACTTTTGCCAAGTCTCTGTCCACCTCTTTTCTGGAAACCGCCCATTACTTCTTAATCCTTTTTGTATCTTGTAATGGTGCAATCGGGTCCGCTCATCCGTTCACAGCAGGAAGGGCCTCGGCTAGTTCGGAAGAGTGAGCAGCCTCTTATTCCTATCACTTTTTTGAAGTTCCTCAGCCGTAATCTAGCATCCCCTCTGGTGCAGATGCACAAAATAAGTTTGATGTGAAATCTCCGTGTTCGTTGTGAACAAGCAAATTGTTTATTTGGGGGCAGTCGTAAGTATTGGCCCTGTCACCACTGTTGCATCTATGAGAATATCTGTATAGACCTTTGTTAACGTAGGATTCAATTTGTATGTATTTCTTTGCGGTCTGTGGGACTTACGACCACGACATCCAGTTTAACTTAATCCCAATTGCGTTGAGTTTTGTTTTGAACTATTTTTGTCCATCGAATCTTAGAAATCAGAAAATTTCAGCTTTGCATATTTTTCTTTAATCAGTGTAATAGACCTCAGATGTGCAACATGAGTAAAGTTTGAGTGAGTAACCAAACATGAATTGGCAGCAGACTAGAGCGGGAACCAGCTCCAACACAAATGACAATCAGTTACGTAGTTTACGATATAAGTGTCAGTTGTTCTTATGTGGTCAGAAATTTTGCAAGAGAAATTCGAGTGACTGCCACCACGCCTTTTTTTTTTCAAGATTTTGGAGCTATAGGTAAGTAAGAACGTTTCGGATAGCATCTCTAAATATTTTTTGAAGGCGAGGCAAACGCAATGTCTCACCACTGAAACAATTCCTGTTGCCCATCCTCGAAAAAGCTTCTTAGATAGATATTGACATGTATTTTTAACGGAAAAAAATTTGTTTTTTTTTATCACATTTTGAGATTCTTTGTTTCAATCAGCAATAAGCAAGCTCTAATTTACGTTTATATAGGCTATCTTTGCTTGTTTTTTTAACTAACAATAAGCCTTACCGCTTCTCTCTCAAAACCCCACGTGCGGTGCAATGGAGAACTCGGACAGGGTTTTTTGAACATCTCTCAATTTTGCTGTTATGCCAAAAGGCATTGACATACGGAATTTTTTCTGTATAAAAATCCGAAATCTTTTTCTGTATAGAATAACCTGCGGTCTACTCAACAGTGAACTAGAAATGATTTCTACCTCAAAGTATAATTCTTCAGAGTATCAAGTTCGCAAATTCTTTCTATTTTCAGGTAAAAAAGCAAAAAAAAATTTAAAATTGCGATTTTTGGGGCATCAAAAACAAAAGCCATGTATCAACTTTTTATTTTAAAAAACTTCATTTTCCGAAGATAGACGAAAATTGAGGTAAACTGCGTATGGATGGATAGAGCATGATCAGGGTCGAGCAAGAGGTGTGGCAAGCGCCGGATACGACCATCATCTGTTTTAATCCTCCCCCCCCCCCCACCAGCATTATCGTTTGCCTTCCGTAGCCATGACATAAAGGCTCTATCATGCATAATTAGGCATATATACATTTAATTATCATGTCAGATAACCACCGGACCAAGTTTTAGCAAATTTTGAGGGTTCACAATATTGGACTACTCAAGTGAAGTGAGCAGTTTCAAACATGATTAACCTACAAAATTGAATTAGCTAACTCTTTTTGTACTCAATACAAAGCACTACCCCTATTTACCGATACCATGAATCCCACTTCAACCCATCAAACTTCGAAATTAGAAGCAGGCCAAAATCTCGTTTGTCCCAGTTTTCGATTTTAATGGCTGCGCTTCTACGACTTTTACTCAGAGCGAAGAAGATGAAATGGGTCCAAATTACTCTCAGGAAAACTACACATTTACCATTTGATTCAACTGGCTTGGCATTGACAAAGGCGGGGCTTCGTGACCTAATTAAGGCCGGGTAATGATCAGAGAGCACTCGCGCGAGAGAGACGCAGGTGCGTCGCGGGCGCGAGCGGCCTCAATTAGATCACAAAACCCCGCCCTAATGGTGCCAAGCCAGTTGAATCAAAGGTTAGGCTATCAAACTATATGTATTCTTTTCGCTAAAATTCTTTTCGGAGGCAAGTTAATGGGGTGTGGCACAACCCTTAAAAAGCTGTGGCCGCCATAGCTTTATAGGGGTTGTGCCATACCCCATTAACTTACCTTCAAAGCATTCAAATCTCTGTCTTTTTTATATGGTCGCTACTGCTGAACCTTCTTCTCCAAATAGCAGGAATTTTGTTCAAAATTGTTTCTCCTAAGCAAAGATATAGTCGCTTTTCCTTAGCTAAGCAATTTGAAAACACCGCGAAAATGGATTACGATAATTCGCGAGAGAAGACGGCAAGAACGCGTATATTCGATAGCCTGATTCTCGTAACTTTCATAAAAATAATTTAAGCCTGATTTCTTCTCTATTCTACGAAATTGAAAGCGAAAAATGGGACAAACAAGATTTTGGCTTTCTCTTAATACCAGAGTTTGGAGGTTAGTTGGATTGAGATTTCTAATATGAGCAAAGAAGTAGTAGTACTTTGTAATGAGTGCAAAAAGAAGTAGTTTACTCACCTTTGAAACAAAGTTAGCATGCTCGAAAATGACCACCTCACTTGACTGTCCCAACATGTAGAAACCTCAGAATCCTCTGAAACCTGGCTCGCGGGGGTTATTTGGCATGCTATACGATAATGCTCTTATGCTTTTAGGGTTCTTTCAATAAGCTTAATGTACGTGCACGACGGTAGGTCAAGACATCAGCGCTGCTATCTTGCACAATGACCCCATCAGACATGTTGCTGACTGACATCATGTCGCTGACATCACTATCACCTCAATAATGCCCCCCCCCCTTCCTGACCCCTTTACGACCCACAGATGTAGCGTGCCACACCCCACGCTTGACCCTGAGCATGATGAGCTCTATTAGATGATAGTCATAAAGAGTGCGTTTGCTCGCAAAGAATTAAATAACGCATATCCTCGTTTTCAAGAGTGCTATAACCATATCTCCAGACTTAAAGTGTTGAAGCCAGCAAGGCATCGTGAGTTTGGTGACTGTCCCATCACCCATTGCAGTGGTACTCTGGATGGTCTCACATGGTTCACTACACAGATATGCTCGAAATTCATAATTTGTTCGAGTAATAACTTTGCTTTCCAGCAAGTATAGAGATTGTCATGCACTTCAACCTACTCTTATGGCTGCGGTACCGGCTATCATGGATCGCATTTTCAAAGCAGTATCAGAGGAAGTGGCTGCGAGCCCAAGAATAATGCAGGAACTGTTCAAATTGAACTATGAACGCAAGAGAACTCGTTACCAAGAAGGTTATTGCAGTCCATTTTTAGACAGAATTATATTCAAAAAGATTCGACGACTTCTGGGTGGCAAACTGAAGGGAGTACTGTCAGGTGGTGCACCACTAATTGCTGAAACTCAAAGGTTCATGAATATTTGCATGTGCTGCCCGGTTGTACAGGGTTATGGCCTAACTGAAACTTGCGGTGCTGCTTGCGTAGCAGATATCAATGATCTCAGTACGGGTACTGTGGGACCTCCAGTGCGATGCTGTGAAATTGTTTTGCGTGAATGGACCGAAGGCGGCTATTCACCCTTCAACGATCCACCTCAGGGAGAAATCTTGATAGCAGGAGAAAATGTGTCTCCGGGATACTTCAAACAGCCTGATAAAACCGCCGAGGAGTTCATAACATATAAGGGGAAACGTTATTTCTGTACAGGAGATATTGGCGAAAAGCGGAAAGACGGGTCTATAATCATTGTTGATCGTAAGAAGGATCTTGTAAAGTTGCAACACGGAGAATACGTCTCATTGGCCCGAGTCGAGTGTGCTCTACTCAATTGTCCCATAATTGGTAATGTCTGTGTGTACGGAAATAGCTACGAAGATAACACGATTGTACTCGTAGTGCCAAATCAAAAGCATTTGGAAAAGATTGCTGAACAGGTTGGTGAAGAATCGCGAGACATGAAGACCATGTGCGCAAGTGAAAAAATTAAAGCTGAGTTCCTCAAGCAGATGAACGAGCATGCCAAGAAAAGTAAATTGTCGCGAGCAGAAATGCCAGTTGCGATACATTTGTGCGAAGAGATATGGACTCCTGACAGCGGCCTTCTCACGGAGGCTTTGAAACTCAAGCGAAAACCTTTGCAAAGCAGATACCAAACTGTCATTGATGAGTTGTACAAGAGGGTTCATGCCAAGTGCGTTCCTGTGTCTTGCAATTTTGAAGCATGAATGTTTTGTTGCTAATTCTAGGTCTTCACATCTGCTCTACTCAGAGCGTTTGTATCTATCACCTTTGTTGAATTGTTCTGGATATTCTCACCTGCATTGTATAAGCTTTCATCAATATGTCATCTGTTTTTTTAACAACTTTTACTAGATTTGTGTGGTGCCTCACTTGTGCAGCATAATGAGCGCCGAACATTTTGCCCCGTTGATCTGTCAGTGCTTGTGCGTATATTTCTAAGGAAAGCCTGTGTGGGCTGCATCTCTTCTTCCAAAATTTTTAGCATCTCTCGCTTCCTTTGCAAGTCCATATTATCTTCTACATCTTCTTCCATTATCTGTGCACCGTATTGATTTGCTACTGATTTTCACTTGTCCTGTGTTAACTCTCGATCACGTTTTAGAAAGATTTTTATAATCATTTTTGACAATCCCCGGTTTGCACCCCGCGAAGCTGTTCATCCTTAGCCATGCCACACAATCTAGTTCAGGGCCATTTTGAATCGATTAACGGAGTTTTAGCAAATATATGAGGCTAATAAAGACTTTTATCATTAAAAAAAAGTATAAATCGGTATGCAGAATAACCTTATAAGGTATTGTCTGAGAAAGATTGATGCATTCTAACATTTATCAAAACTGAAAAATTCAATTACTTCTTTTTCTTCGACTTCTTGCAACTTTCTATGTGTCCCGTTTATTTGGATTACCCTGACATATTAGGCGGTTCGAATCCCTGATATGAACAGGACATGCGTGACCACGCTCGCAGGATCTTTTTGAACGAATGTGATTTTATCGGTAGAGGAAAGTTTTCTGTTTCGCATAGTATCTCGGAGCTTCTACTACTGGCTCAAACTTTGCTCAATTTTAATTCGTTAAAAATTGAAAGCTACGAAAATTCTGTAATCTTCAGTGCATAAACTTTTTGTCCTTCTCCTTCTGAATAAGAGACATAGTGCTGCTCTTTAGATTATTTTTTAGTGAAGTCGTGATTTTCGCGTTTACAATCAAGATCGACTCAATTATTTTGTCGCTTTCCTTAAAAGCGGAGTTTCTATAGGTAAGCGACCAATCTTTCATCATTTGGAAATAAGTCATATCATAAAGTAATGACGTCTATTTTCTTCAACCATTTTTTGGCAACCTAAATTGAAATGGAAGCTTGAGCAGTTTTCTTGTTCCACTCTTATCTTTGCAATCCTTTTGTTTTGAAAGAATGGCGAGAAATCATTTTCAATAGAAAGAATGAGTTCAGAGAAAACAACAAACCTAATTTTGTTGTTGCTGTGCCTTCTGGCAAGGCGAAAATTTAGGATTTGATTTCAAATCTTGAAGTAAATCTCTGAGTTTTTTTCAGATTTAAATTTTTCCTTCAAATAGCTGGCATCGCCAGTATACTTGCACACTAAAGCTCTCAAAAGCACCATTAGAAAGTGATAAGCTACTGTATGTCACTATTCACAAACTTGAATTTGCTGTCATCTTCTTGCTGTGCAGTAAATTAGAGCAACATCATTTCGAATTCTAAAGGCTAAAAAAATTTTTTGAGAAAAAAAACGATAATTGAGTACACAGAGTTTAAGGAGTTCTACTAGCTCTCTATAGACTATCAAATGTATTAGAGGTAACGCCTCCAATCCTGTTGGATAAACGCAGTAGAAAAGGTAGATTTAAGTTATGACGCTTTGAAATTGTCCTTCTTATTGTTAGAACTTTCCCGTTTTTTTCTGGTCAGTTCGAGGTTGCATCGACGAAAAGCAAATGTAATGATTTATAGAGTTCATTTCTAATATGGCCAGTATGTAGATTATTGCTCTGTAGTGGAAACACCTCGTCTTTAAATTTAGATTTGGAATGGTAACAGTTTATCGATTAACAAAAAGTGTCGCATACTATGATATACTATGGAGATTCTATGATATTCTAATGCACAGTGCACCCCCAACACATGCTTGACTTGAGCAAGGAATTTTGTAGGTAAATGAAAAAAAGGATGAAACATGCAAATTTCTATTCTTATCACATGCAAAACGATGAAAAGAGCATGAAACTAAAAAGGCAGTAAAGGTAGGTAGCGGGTGCAAGTTTTTTCGTTGTAGTTCTTACTGGTGGCTTCGTTGTAAACCTGCAAAGTTTTCTAATTTAAAACAAATCCGTAAGTAGCCATGTCATTCTCTTTCATGTTGATATAAGTATTAGGCTCTAAGCTAGAGGAATATAACTACACATTCTACCATCGGATAATGCTCACCTACGGGTAGTGGTAACATTTCTCTTACAAGGGAAGGATAGTTGGATGCCGCGACCATTTCTAATGATTTGTACACCAAAAAATGCGCCTTCGAATGCAGATTCTGAATCTGTGCTCGAAATCTGCGAAACGATCTTTTGAAGAAAGTTATGAACTTTTTTCCTTGAAAATTTAGCCTACTTTTGTATAGTGAAAATCACCAGATTTGATCTAGCCTACCGTTTGATGCTACTGAAGAAAATTTTAGACGTAGTAATGTTTATTTAGACTTCTGGATCATACTCAGCATTTGGAAAGGAGAGAAATATTTTTTATTGGTGATTTTGTCCCTCAGCAGGAACGCAATTTTTTTTAATGAAAAAAATCATAACTCCATTCAGATTATCGTTTCGCAGATATGAAAGACAGTCTACGAACCAGCATTCAAAAGCGCATTTTTTGGTATACAAATCATTATGAATGGCTACGGCATCCAAGTATCCTTCCCCTGTTAGATGTAGTCGAAAGTACTCTGAAATGGCTTTCTGAATTGAATTTCTAGTACCAAGCTGAGACATGTAACACCTACCTACGAGTTGTTCTTGGTCTAGAGGTGGTTACATTTTTCCTTGATGTGGTGGATATTATTCTGGAATGATTTTTGGACACACATGCAGCTAATCTTACCGTGGTGCAAGATACCTGCGAGTCGTTTTCCTTGAGGAGGTGCTGATTCTTCTTGGTGTAGTAGTTGGGAGTCTGAGATGGATTTGTCAAGACAATAGTATTAACAAGCCCTACTTTGTAAAAATCACCTGCGAGTTGTTCTCGTTGACGAAGTAGTAATGTTTCTTTTTGGTGTAGTAGTCGGTATTCTGGAATGGCTTTGTTACCAGCAGTAATTACCAGGCACTACGACTTTGTTAGAAACCTACTTCCGAGTTGTTCTCGTTGACGAGGTAGTGATATTCAATTTTGGTGTGGTAGAAAGTACTCTTGACAATTTTTAACTACTAAAGCATGGTCTTCCGAGATGTGAAACCCACCTGCGTGTAGTTTTTGTTGAAGAGCTAGTTGCATTTTTTGGTGTAGTAGTCGGTATTCTGCAAATTCTTTCTAAAAGCAGCGCTATCCTACGTTGGTTCAACACTACTACGCAATGTTTTCCTGCAGAGCTAGTAATAATTTACTCTGGAGAAGTTCAAAAATTAACGTGCAACTTTTGTTGTATCAGAGTGTATTCACTATCTTGAGCTGGTTCATAATATTTGAAAAAATTTTCTATGAAACAATCAGTACGAACTTAACAGAATGGCTTTTGAACAATCGAAGAAAAGCTAGTTCTCGTAAAATAACCACATCTATATTAGGCTGGTAAAGATGACTGCACGGAATCGCCCGGACTGAGCGCCCGCGCCTCTGTCTCTTGCGCGCTAACATTGGCGTTGGCGCGCATGAGCCATCATAGCGCCCCTACTCGGCAGCCGCATTGCAGGCATGCTCGCGTGCGTTCAGCCTACAGCAACCCGGGCAATTTCGTGCAGGCGACTTTATAAGCTTTAGTAAACCAAAGAAAACAAATTCAGCACAAAAAAAGACAGTTTCTCATATTGTGCACTGTTGTTCTGCCAAACAGGTTTTTGCGGTGGATCTTTACTGTTGCTTCACATTTCGAAAAATATCGTCTTCTTCGGAGGTCTCTAGTCCATCATGGAGTCAGTGTCCGCACGAATGTGACGGACATTATTCAGACAGTGATGAAAGACAACTGACTGAGATAGTTTTCCATTTTCTAGCTGTCGAAAAATACCAATTTTACATATCAGTAGATGTGGGCAATAGATGCGTAACCATGGTTGCTTTGCAGAACCCTTTTGAATGAAGACGTAATATTTTCATATCAAGTATTTTAGATTTTACTTTCATTGCGCGCTAACTGTACAGACTAGACCAGTAAAAAAAACCCACTTGCGAGTTGTCTTCGATGTAGAGGTTGTGTTTTGCTTTCGGGTGGAGGCGGTTCTAAACTAGCGTTAAAACTAAACGTAAAGTAGCCTGAATACCCTAGCTTACCTAAGAGTGGAGCTAGTCGTTGTAGGAACACTTTTTACGCCAAAGAATTCAAGATTGTTGGTATCTAAGTTGAAAGTGATGCAATATTCTTGAAGTAGTGGAGCTCCAAAATGCCATTGTGGACCAATGCCAGCGCTCGTCTGAGCGACTAATGCGAGAATACATCTGTTTCCTATCTGTAAGTGTAGGGGTACATTTGACGGAGACAAGTATAGAAACCCATTTCGTGTTAAAAACTGTATGGTGTTACCAATTACTGGTTCAGACGGTAAAAAATTGCATCCTGCGACGCATGAGATCTCCCTGTGTCTTACATAGCAAAAATCTATATAAACAAAGCTGAATTTGTGTTTGTATGTGTGTGTTTGTATGTCTGTATGCCTACGTATGTTCCGAATGGAAATTTCCATTTCTAATGCAACCCGGATCAACTTGGCACACGTACACTTCGGGGCGGGGCGAGAGTCGTAGGCTACTTTTTGTCATTGGTCGATATCGATTTTATCGATTTCTTGCAAAGTGTATCTAAGAGGCTGGGAATTGGCACAGGAGTAAGTGAAATGCAGATTACGAGGATATTATTGGCAGGACCAGGCGACTGGGTTCTAGCAGCTAGTCAATGGTATGAGAAAGAAGACAATTCTGCAAAATCTCTGAAAATCACTAATCTACCTTTACAATAAGCTTATTCGATTGGATCGTGTATGTAAATCTCTCCGCTTTTATTTCCAGTTTTGGTACAGCAGCGTTGCACTGAATTTCATAGGATCCGAGTTTGGGCTAGAAAATAGAGCTTTGGAAAATAACTTCGTCAGAATAAAATAAAATTACCATAGCTCCAGCAGCTTTGGCCAATCCGTCTATGCCTGCTTGCGGGCCAGTAATAGACGAAATTAGTTCTGGCATTGCATTATTCATAAAGCCATGTGTGAAATTTCCCAGCGAAATCGAGCTTATCTGAGACATTTTGGGTGAGAATTGCCATGGTTTTTGTTTTGTGAATCATTTGTGCAATTCGTAGAGTCTAAAAGCAAGGGTAGACTTTTTAAATCATTCTAATGCTTTTTTTTTCAACCAACACATCTGCTGCTAATTGCTGCTCAAGCTCTGTCGCTGGATTCTCAGACAATTTCTGATCAATTTTGTCGGATTTGCTTTCATATTCTTCTCCTTTTTGCCATTTGTAGATCGAATGCCATTATGGCCAGAATGACAATGTAAGTCCAGTCATTATGGATTATTATGGTTGTTGCGACTTGAAAGTGTTGTTTGATGGCGCGTTGATTATGCAGACCTTTTTTTTAATCCCCAGATGTTGATGGAAAAGAAGGATAGTCAGCCGTAAATCGCTAGACTGCTTTCAAGCGATAAACTAGATGAAGAAAAAATGTGTGTCCTCTGATAGAAGGACACAAATTTCGATGAAATGAAAAATTTGCGTCAGCGATCAGAAAAAAAATATGAGAAGCAAGCACTTTGAACTTTATGCCAAAACAAGCAAATTCAAGGGGTATAAGTGCCATTCTATAATAGTGCTAGATTTCCAAAGGTTTTCTGACACTAAGGCACGTTCAGTTATAGGGACTATTCACGAAGGAACCCTTTATAAAATGGGTGGGAGAGAGCATTAGGGGAAGGTGATAATAGCTTCAGCCAATGAGCGCTCATGCATGTGACCTTCTTCGAAATTATTTAGGTTTTTCAACAACCCAAATTACTTGCTTTGCTCACATCAAAATTTTTCAAACTTTACACATAAGTTTGTTTCCAGTTCACTTCCCAAAGGATCATTATGGCAAGATTCAAGCCAAAAATTTGTCTGAATAAGTTCTGAAAAAGTGCATGGTTTTACCTTAAATTGGTAGGAGTTTGTGAAGGGTAGCAGAGTCGATGACGCTGTCTGGCAGTGATGGCGTTTCTTGAACCATAAGTTACAGAGCCCGCATTCGAGCCGGACTGTTGGCTCAAAAAGATGGTGAACATTGGCGAATTCAGGAGACCTTCAAGTAGAGCATAGAGGATGCATAGAATTTTACTATGTCCATTCTGTGTATATGCTATATTGCATCGCATGTGATGACTACGTTAACTGAAATAGGACAAAATTGACTTTTCTATTCTTTTATGTTTACCTTTGGTTTCGATGAGCTGAGAAATAAATGGTTTAATAGGTGTAGGGTTAGAACTGTCGTTGCTGGGTGCAAGTCCAAGAACTCCGTCCACTGTCTGAAAGTAAAGTAGTTATGTTAGAGATAAACACACTAGTAATTAGGCTTTTACCATCTTTATATCTCCTGATATGCTTGTGGCCATTCCAAATGTGCATCTTGGTTTCAGTTGCTGACTAGCAGAACCGCGAATCTGGCAACAGTCAAACACATGAAGGTAAAAAACTACAATCCAGTATTAAGATCATGAAATCAGAAGACTTTTTCACTTGTCAAGAGTTTTTATTTCACTAGCGCTTCTTAGCAAGATAATCTGGTGCTATTTGCGTTTCATCTCACAGGCGTTATGCAGATCTTTCAAGCAGTACGGCTTCAGTACAGATCGTAACTAACTCTTAATTTTTGAATACATTTAAGAGTAAAAGATTCCAGAAATAATAATTTCGTTAGCAGTCGGACTAAGCTTCCTCAAACCCTTACCGTGGCTACATCGTTTCCCAGCTCGCCATTAATCGTTCCACCATTACTTTTTTGTTTCCAAGGTCTGCCATCCCTCGTAAATGAAGTTGACTGCGTCGAGTTGAATTGCTTGCGACTACCAACACCTCTAAACAAATGGCCGCTTAAAAGTTTTTAAACACAGATATCCTTTCTTCATCTTTGAAATTACGGTATAGCAGCAGAGTTTGCTTCTGAACGAATGGAATACGTGATATTCATTGAGTAACCCTTTTTTCGAAAAATGTCTCATATTATTTTGTAAAGTACTCACGTACATCCAATCCTTGGTACCCATAACATAGAGCTGCTCAAGGTGACCATCACATCGAAATTCTGATTGTTACTTCCTATGCTGATTTTATGTTTGTATCCATCGCCTGTGGTTTCCAGCTGTCAAATCAAGATCATTAACTCTTCATCCATAAGGCATTCCCAAGCTTATGGCCATTTCGAGCCTGTCTTGTATCAAAATGGTACAACAGCACGTGATTCCGAAATTTCAGTAGAAAGCCGTAAGGTAGGCCAGAAAAAAACGTAAGCTTACCGGGACTGAGATACTCAGTGCATTGTCGATGCCATCGCTGTCCTAAAAATACATGGAAATTGTTCTTCTAGCATGCAGACAGCATTATGAGTTTTTTTAAACTTTTTTATATTCAAAAAATATACGCCTTTTAAAATTCAGCTTTTGTTTACCTTATTGTTAGGGTAACTAACGTGCATGAAATCACTCCAAGTTGAAGTCAAGTAGACAACTTTGCAAGTCGTAAATATAAGTACAGCTAAGGCTGTGGAGGTACCCATCATCGACTGAAGTGAGCTCGAATTACGTGATAACTTCTAGCTACACCTAAAGCAACACCAAATGTTTGAAAGTTAAAGGCACGGCCCATGCATAGTTTGATATTATACTAATACATGCAAACAAAATGTAGAGCAGACTGTGCCCAGATGGTGACATCTGTACTCTGCGACTAATGTTTTACCCATATCAGCAAGCATTTTTTCTAAAAACTGACGCATGCAGTTGAGCAACCACCCCCTGATTGAGACACGCATCTTTCCAAGAATGAATATTTTAACGATAAGGAAAGTGCTCATACTTTTTACAGATGGAGAACATTCGAGACAACCTGATGATGTCTTAAAACTGCGAAATCTCCATCAGTTTTGATGTTCGTATACACAAGAACACGGTGCATCTGGTCTGATAAATTTTATCACTAGTACTTATGATTTTTATATATAAATCTGAGTGTCTGTTTATCTGTATGAGTGTACGTATATGCGAAATAGAGGTTTTAATTTTTCATTTGAACCGAACTTGGCACACATTTACTTCGAAGCGGGGGCGTGTCGTAGGCTGCTTTTCGTAATTCAGCGACATTGGTTTTATCGATTTTTTTGCAAATCTCAAATTAAGAGGCTGGGAGTTGGCACAGGGGGTAAGTGAGCATGCTGACTACTATACTACTTTGGATCATGCCAAATTTTTTTCGAATACTTGAACATATTCGAAGATCCAAAATATCGAATAATCAAATTTCGAATATTTCCAAAAACGTGTCGAATATCCAAATATCAAACATTTTCCAAAATCAAGAAAACCGAGCAATCGAATATCGGATACTTTCAAAATGAAAAAATTTCGAATAATCGAATATACATATTAGAAAACGAAAAACTTCGAATGATCAAGTATTTTTCATCGATTATGTCGAATATTCTAACAAAAACTTGGTTGATATGGTGCTATAAAGAACTCTATGTAGTAATGTAGTTAAACAAACAATAAGTATTAATATATTAGGTCGTTCCGAAAGTTCTTTCCGTTTTTTCAACCTATCATAAAAATACGTGGAGTGAAGGTAGGGAAACGCTTCAGACGCTTTCCGACGCAGCTTTTCTTCCTCTTTTCAACTGTCATATGCCGCTTGCTCTTGTTGTCAGTGAGATAATGTCCGAAATTTCGAGCCCATGGTTTTTACTATGTCCAACTTTGGCAAATTTCACATTCTTCTTTTTTGACCTTTGGAAAAACTTTGATAGCACTCAGATAAAGTAAACAAAGTGCAATTCAATGAAATTTTTTGGCGTCTACAGTTAGCCTTGAAAATTCTCTACAATTATTTTTCTGTATCAAATTCCACTTTTGGTGATGCCAAGAATCATAGAACATAAAACAGCGCACAACTTAGGTGTCATTCGATGCAGCTTTTTCTCCTCCTTCTACTGAGTATTTTTCTTCCCAAAATGCGGGGGTTTTTGGCGATGAAATTTCCATAATTCTTGATTTTGAACCCGCTTAAGGGTATACACGTGAAATGCGAAATCTTATATTTTGGAGCGGTAAACACTAAGTCACTTTGTAAAAATAGTGAACAATCATAAACGACTTTTAAAAGTGTCTAAATCCGAAGATTTGTTAATGTTCGGAGCCTTAGTGTGTTTTGTGAATTTGAAAAAGTGAAGACTTCTGGAAAAGTTATCCCAAAAATTCCATTGAATTGCACTTTGCTTACTCTATCTGAGTGTTATCAAAGTTCTCCCAAAGCCCAAAAAAGAAGAATGTGAAAAATTGCCAAAGTTGGACATAGTAAAAACCATGGGCTAGAGATTTCGGACATTATCTAACTGACAACGAGAGCAAGCGGCAAAGGAGTATAACAGTTGAAAAGAGGAAGAAAAGCTGCGTCGGAAAGTGCCTGAAGCGTTTCCCTACCTCCACTCTACGTGTTATGATAGGTTGAAAAAACGGAAAGAACTTTCGGAACGACCTAATAGTATCAAAAATAAGATGCAAGTTATTGAGCCAATTGGCAAACCTAGTTCCGCTCGGCCCCAAAGGGATGCGATTAGGAGATGTTCTCCTGTGTTTAATGAGCAACAAAAGAAAGCCGATTCACAAGTGAGTTGAGCCGACCAATTTTGCTCTTTGTTGAGCCAGTTAGATCCACGGTGTGGGCGAAGTCGTGCATGTTAGCTAGTCAACATATATACGTGATCAGAGTTTCAAGGCGAGTCCGATGATATATATATAGCATGTTTGGTGTGGCTGGATTAAGTACCATTCTCTGCTCATACGATAAAACCACACCTTTCCCCGTCCATCGCCCGCTGCTCAGCGGCATGTTCACAGAAGGTTGTATGCTGATTCTCGCGGAGGAGCAGAACGCAGGAAGGGAGCCTCATATCCTGGAGCTTGAAGATTTGATTTTACGTTGTTTCTCATTTCATTCACTTTTTACTATTATAAACACAATGAACGAAAGATATTTTTTTGCAAGCTGCGTTTTCAGCTTTTCTTGCGCTCCCGAGTAATCGGTCGCCAACCGTTAATTCTTTGGAGTCAATGAAAACACAAAGTTGTACTGACTGCCTAACTCAACAATGCTGAGCATGCTTTTGATTCGAACAAATGAGTTGCTAAAATATTGATATAATCAACTGATTCCGAAACTCAAGTTGTGGTTCATCAAAATTCACATACTTCAATACATTTGTTCTCATCAGAGACATGCCACTATTGTATAGATATAAGAGCTTAAGTTTGGAATGCTTTTATTGATTTTCATGAAAGAAACGTCAAGAAAAACTACTGAATGGAGGGACAATGCAAAAAGTTGATAAATGCGGCTCATACAAAAATGCGCTCATGCTCAAAATGTTATAGTGAAGGGTGTCAGTACTTGGGATGGAAAAATAGCATGATAATTAGATCTTTGAAACTATGATATGAAGTTTTCTATTGAGTTGAGCAGCTTTCCTCCTCGACCGAGATGTACTTGCATGCATGCATGCGGCTCTTGAATGTGTACACAGAAATGCTAGCTCATATGGAAGAATAAAGGGCTCAAAGACCAAGTATGAACATAACGGATGAATATCGCATGGTGTTAATGGTGAATGTTGTGTGCTCCCAAGCAGTTATTAAGGAGGCAAAAAGGGCTGCACATCCTCAAAAGCGGCAGGCGGTTCGTGGCTATTTAGCCTTTTAGAATACCAAAGTCATAATTTAATTTCATGAAAGTGTCAAACAATCGATCAACTATCAGAAATGAAGATCCGAATGCTTGAATATTCGAAGGTTCAAAATTTCGAAAAAGCGAACAATCGAATAAAAAATTTCGAATAATCGAGTATCGAGTGTATTTCGAGATTCAAAATTTTCGATTAATCTTCGAATAAACTTCATCCGAATACTTCATTTTATTCGATTCGCGGGTTTGCCAGTTAGTGTTGCATAGTGTTAATTTCCACACATCATGACTAACTACTGATAACAATAAAACTGTGGCCTTTCAAGGAAGTCCATATAGTTTCAATGCAAGCTTTCACATGACTCGTGTGGGGCTAGACTTAAATGTCTTATCAGTGTCCAGTCATGTCAAGAATTAGTGTCTAAAAAATCATCTTGCAAAGATGATTTTGGACACATAGTTGATCAGTTTGTTGCTATTTTCATAGAACCATAGTTAATGTTTGGAATTTGACTTGCAGTGTTCTCATTCTGATGCAACAAAACGTGCTTCAAGTTTTTGAATTAACACCGCTAATATTCATCTAAGGGCCGCATGCACTAACCATTTTCCAGCTTTTGTATGATCCCTGATGATCCCCGGCGCTTTTCTTTAAAGTCATTTTTCTCTCTCCGAAGTTAACGAAAAACCTCCAAAGCTGTGCAGATTATCTAACCCGACAGTGCTAAGCATGTTGCTGATAAGAACGAATGATGTTTCGAAGTCATGAAATGTTCGATGATCCACAGGTCGAAATTTGAGGTTTACCGAAAAATTCAACTTTTCAAAAACTCATATGTTCTCATCAGCAACATGTTCAGCACTGTTATTTTAGATGTTCAGTACAACTTTGGAAGGTTTTCGTTAACTTCGGAGAAAGAAAGATGACTTTAAAAAAAGCGTCGGGGATCATCAGGGATCATACAAAGGCTGGAAAATGCGGTTCGTACAGCTTCTCGCTCCTGTTCAACATGTTCATAATAAAGGGTAGTAGGAATACTCACGGATAGGTACACAACATGAAATCCAGGTATCTGGAGTTTCAAAATATAAAGCTTTCATTAAGCTGCGATCCTCTCCCCAGCGGGGAGGTTAGTGCATGCGGCCCTATAAGGCCTAAGGCATACCTCGCGCGATTCGGTCGCTGCGCGATTTGGCATAACAGCGACTCTTTGTAATTCGTTGTTAATGCGCTTCCTTTGGTCAGGACTTGATTCATTTGCAACAACTTACACAAGCTACCCGCCCATGCGTTCGAGAAGGGCGCACAATAAATCTGTGGAAATCTCGCAAATCGCCAAGTCGCTTGAAAGCGGCGATTTGGCCGAATCGCGTCAGGTGTGCCTTAGGCCTAAGAGACCAAATTGGATCGCCCACTTGGTAGGTAGCTTGATTTACGATACGTATTCACAAAGCTACCACCGGAAGGCTAACCCCATGAAATGTCGCCATAAGGTATTAACGCATAACCAGAATTTGTAGATAGTTCTTGAGCCAACATGGAGAAAACAACCGGGATATTTACAAAAAAGCTTAGCCATTTTCCAAATATTCTAGAGTTTCTGTGAATCAGCAAAGGCACGCGATGAAACGTGTAACCTATCTGCACTTTGAAGCTTGTTCTCATAATTGCAAAGTGAATAGGGCTCGGCGTCTATACTGACAGATCACCGAAAAAAGCAATATATCCAATCTTTTAAAAAAAACTGGTTTATCTGAAAAGAAAAAATGATATTATATCCAAAGAAAAGACTTTTTGTGGTGGTCTGTTGCTGCTAGCTTATCTCAAGGAA